AACAAAAAGAATCATACAAAATAAGATATTTACCATATGTTTTTTTTTTCCCCTGCCGGACTCACAAACAGCAGACTCTCCAGTGCACTATGACAGCACCAGTGTCGTGAACTTCACTGGGCCTCTCGCTGTCACCTCACATTACCCAGAAGGCCAGTAGAGTGGTCACCTGATTTAACCAGGGCTACTCTGGTGTTCTCTGGTGAAGTGCCCCCTCTTTGTCTCTGTGTCTCTCTCAGTACAGGTTTCAGCTTCAGGTCACGCTCGGTACAAGCGTAAGGAGGCCTCCACTCTCCTGCATAAGGAGAGTGGAGGCCTGTGTAATAACAGCTTGAGCTAAAATTGTGGACATCTGTAGGTATGCTGCCCAATTGAGTTTTATGGATCTCAGTCAGTGGCAGGGCTCACCTATTGTCCATTTGGTCATGATGTTTAATGGATTGATGTGACTAGGGATCTCTTATAACACTCATCATTTGGCCAGAATGCACAAGCCAGTGAATTTACACTTAAAACAGCTGCAGTACATTCAAAATATACTGCAGCGTCCTAGTCAAAATCTAGTCAAATTGAGTCCTGACTAGAACCAGGAAGTACGACCACATTAGTCCAGTTCTCAGGTCTCTGCACTGGCTTCCTGTGGCTCAGAGAGTAGACTTTAAAACAGCTCTGCTTGTGTACAAGCCTCTCCATGGCCTCGCACCAAAATATATTAGTGACATGTTAGTCCCATATGAACCAGCCCGGACTCTGAGGAGCACAGGGACTGGACTCCTGTTAGTGCCCAGAGTCAGAACTAAACATGGGGAGGCTGCTTTTCAGATTCATGCTGGTAAAATCTGGAACAATCTTCCTGAAGATGTGAGACAGGCCTCCTCTCTGACAATGTTTAAAACCAGGTTAAAAACAGTCCTGTTTAGCTGTGCATAAAACTACTGAATCTACTAGCGACATGGCAGGTGCTGATTGGAGAATGTACAATTTCTCCATGCTTTAAAATCACATGCAAGATATAACACAAGCTGCAAAACAAGCTGTAAAACTCCCAGACCGATCTGCATATTTTCTCATTTTTGCACAGGACCATATGGGACGTATGTTAAATGTATGTTAAATATGGGATGATCACTAATGGAGAGATTATTTTGGTTTGATTTTTACATTGTAGAGACAAGTTAAGAGATTAGAAATTAGCTTCAAGCAATGGATGGAAGAAATATCTGTTCTTCCACCATAAGTTTGACAACCCCACTCATGGCTATCGCAGCTTGCACTGATTTTGTCACTTACACCTTGTCCAGTCTTGCTTCGCGCCTAGTTTGGTCCTGTTTTAAAATGCCAGTTGAAAAAGTACCAAAGCAGTGGACAAATAGAGACGAATCGCCGTATCTTATTTCTCTTTTGTCAACATCCAACTGCTCCTGTGATCCCTGAGCCATCAATCTGCTTTCACGTCCCTTTCTTTCCCTCTCTCTCTCCCAGAGCACACTCAACCTCCTCTCTGCGATCTTTCCTTTGTGCGTCCCCGTGTGTTTTGCTGCTTGCGGCCGTGTCATCGCTTCCTTGTCAGATCCAGGAAGTTCTTGGATCAGAGGGTTTTACCTGCCTGATGGATGATCAAAGCCAGGGCAGGGAGAGGGTGCAGGGTTTTTTGTTTTTTTGTTTTGAGACAAAGAACGAAGGGTGAAGAGCGAGGCCTGTCCCGACACGGACCAGGGGTTAAGAAGGTTGGACTAAATTTGTAATGCGCTCATGTTAGAGTCAGTGCAGATATTGCGTCATGGTTTTCACAATGGAAAAGTTGAAGAGTGCAGATTGCAAAGTTTGTAAAAGGTGAAATATGTAAACTTCTGCCATGAGTTTGACCCATGAGTTTGACCCATGGTGGCGAGGTCTGGGATCTTTTTGGGGTTTTTTGTTGGTACACAGCATTAACAACAAATTAACTCAAAATGTTGATATTTATACAGTTGGCTATTGTATACAATCACCATGGATGTATTATAATAACTGGATAGGGTATTACTAGCTTGTAGCTGAATAACCCATGTGCTCAGGGGATTCTCGCGGTACTGCAGACTGAACCAGACTAAATTCACGTGGGCTACCCAGAAATTTTCCCCATAGAACTCAATGCATATTAAAACAGCTCAACCTCAGCTGACAGAACCTACAGCTTTCATAAAGGTCAGATTTTGTGGGGATTTTAGTGTCCCTTGTCATCCTGAACTTTTTTTCTTCTTAAATCCTTCGGTTTTGTTTAAATCTACACTTTAGTGCCACAAACTCTGCCCGTCTGGCTCTCGCTCTAACTCCCGCTCTGATGAACTGCTCTGATTGGTCAGAGCGCGGCCGAGCCCCTCTGTGCACGTGTGTAAGACCCGGTGTGCGACCCACACACGCGTGTTTGGCGCAACGCATTATGGGAGGTCATCCACTGCGCAGAACCGGGAGGACCAGACGATGCCCAAATACAGGCGAGTTTCCCATAGATCTTTGCAAGTTTCAGGCAACTTCCGCTAATCTTTCAGCCCCCATGCCGTCACAAAGCGCCACTGAGCACAACCATTCATTTGAATAGGGCGCCATCTTGGATCGCCAGGGCTTGACAATCACTTATACTGATGACACTTGTAATTTGCGAAATTAGCAAAGTCTATCTTATCTTATCTTATTAGCTTCAGCCTACACCTTTTCGATCTTTCTTTCTACTGTAAAATCACTTGTCTGTAATCAAAATAAGCGTTCATGTTTTTATACCAAGGCAAAAATACGAAAGCTCCTATGGTGGATAGATAGCTATGGCCTAGCAACGATCCCGTCTCTGTGTTATCGATCTTCCACACTCCCTTCAGCATCTGACACAGAGGCAGTATAAGTTTGAAATCAAGTGGAAAAGTGCTGACTTCTGCAGACTGTTGCAATCACCAGCTCAGTCTTAACATAATTGCACAAAAAGTCTCAAAATAGATCTATACCTGTTTAGACTAAATGATCCTGGATTAGATTTGAAGGTGTTCAGAAAGATAATCATTCCTTGAGTGGAATTTCTTTGGATATTGGCTCACAAATTTGACTAAAAAAACTGTTTGACTTTCTCATATGGTATTGATCTATCTCTTTATTCAATGTATGAAGTCCTTCCAGCTGAATGTGGTAATTTTGGGCTGTACAGAAATAACACAAATTTGAGATTTACAGAACAGTAGTTTACACATGACCTTGAGTATGTTTGTGTTTTTTTAAGGCCATATTGTTACTGACTCTTTGACTCGTTCCTTTGCTAAATACTTGGAGTTTCTCAGTGTCATTCACTGCTAGGGCTCAAAAAATCACCAGATCGGTAGATTGCGAGATTGTGGAATGACTGAATCTTCAAACAGGAATCACGTGGCAGCAACAGCGCAAGAGTAAAGTGACGGTAAAGTTTGTCAGGACGACCTTCACCGGAGCATTTTTATCCAAAGTGCTGGATTAGATTGTTTTGTTCTTCTTTATCAGACGAACGAAGATAGCGATATTGAAGATTACAACCATCTAATTCACTTCAAAGGCAAGACGAACATTCCTAAGATATAAGGGAGATTGGGGAAACCAGAAGCTCCCAGAGAAGGAAACTGACCCAGACAAGAAAAGAAACAAGCACAATCCACACAAAAAGGTCCGGGTTGACAAGGGAATCAAATCTTTCCCTTCTTACTGAACATTTGGCTATAATAATAATCACAAGTTAATAGGTTTAGGTAAAGCTGCGGCAAAAATCAAAACATACAAAAATTGCAGCAATCTCCTCGCCCATGTGACTTTGACTTTTCTGACCCTTTCTGATTGGATCAAATTTAATACACAGCTAAACATGTTTGTATGTGATTAAGATTAATATCATATAGTTGTACAGTAAACATCTGTTCATGTTAGCGGCATGAGGGTCTGGGACGAAGTGACTCAGTAAAGTGACAGTGACACATGTAGTTCTATATTGCACAGATAAGTAAAGTAAAGTGACAAAAAGTAAGGTAAAGTAAGTTAAAAACATTGAATTGGAAAATAGAATTTTTTTTCCCAGATCTTCCAGCCCTAGGTTTATGTTCGGACCTACGTGAGGCACCGTCATTCTCCGTCTCCCAGCTCCTTATGAAGTACTGTATCTCTAATATCAGTTGACTGACGCTAATTGTAATTGTTGCTAATGTTTTTGGATCGGTCCCTGCGGTATTTAAACATGTCGTCATGGGATCTATGTCAGCGTCAAACCCAAACCAGTCCTTTGAGTCCAGTTTGTCATCGGCGTCTGGCCTTTTCAGGAAATGAGCTAGAGATGAGTGAAGAGAGGAGCGGGCCGAAGCAGCTGTGCAGCAGATGGACTGAGTTAGAAGCACTGCTGCAACATGTGCCGCGGTGTTCAGGGGGATTACAGTCTCAGATTAAAGTTAAACTGTGGTGACGTATTGTGAATTTAAACATGAGGGTATGAGATATTGAAGGCCTGATTTTAACTTTGGTGCTCCTCATGGTTACTTGATTGGCTGGAGGGTCTAAGGACAATGGTGATGATCCAGGACACTCAACATTCATTTTTTAAATATATTTATTAGCATTTATGGACATTGATCATCTGCCCCTTACAGTACAGAATATGGATTTCCTTGTTATTTTTCTACCACAGAACAAATAAGTATATTAATATTTAAAATACAAAATATATTGCAATGTTTTTGTTATTTAAAATCTGGAGACTATGTTATTATTTTAGAATTATTATAATCAGGACTGTATATATTAATCAATGTGTCAGCAAACAGCCTTAACATAACGTCTTAAAAGTGGTAACGGTAAATAACGTATTAGTCCACTCACATTACTTACTCACATTGAACTATACAGGAAATAAAATCACCTTCAAACACTGGGAGAACATACAAACTGATCATAAGAATTATCGTTTTAATGACATTACCGGAGAAACGTCCATTTATGTGTGTACCTTGTCTGTGTTGCAGCTCTTCCATGTGGCCTACGTTCTGATCAAGTTTGCCAACTCTCCGCGGCCCGACCTCTGGGTCCTGGAGCGCTCCATAGACCACGGACAGACCTACCAGCCCTGGCAGTTCTTTGCTTGTGAGTAAAACTAACATTATCTGTCGTACCAGCTGCCAAAGTGCTGTGTGCTGCCCACATCTGCAAATATATTCATTATTTACAGGTATATTAGAGTTTTACAGATTTTTTAGGTCTGTGTTTATTTCTTAAAACTCACCGCTTACTTTTTTAGACAAGGATTTTGTGGTAAGCTATCCATTTATGACGGTATAAAACTATTGTTAAATGACACCAATTAGAGGAAATGTGTGAATGATATCTGTCATTGTACCTTTGTATCCGATTTTGTGTATTTGCTTGTTTAAGTCATTATAAGAAATATCCAATGTGTGGGAGGAGGGTTGTAAAGAAATTGTTTTTTTATGTAATTTTGCATTTAATTGTTTGTAGGTGTGTGTGTGTGAGTCTGCCTATATGTGTGTGTGTGTGTGTGTGTGTGTGTGTGTGTGTGCGTGTGTGTGTACGCGTTAGTGTGCGTGTGTGTGTGTGTGTGTGTGTGTTGCAAAGACCGCATCCACTCACTTCTGCATTGATTGTCTTTAGGCAGAACTAGGAACATTCTTTCACATGTTTGTGCGATCATTGCCGATTAATCATTTGCTGGAGAGAGCATGTCTACCATTCGGCGAACTCTCCTTATTAAATCAAGTCATTTTTCAGTTTGTTAGAGATAATTATGGGCCAATCTAAGCGTCCTTACATTTAAAACTCTCGATACAACTGGAAAGGTAACCAACATTCCCTTGAAGTTAAATATGTTTGACCACACAGGATTAAAATCAATATTTATATTAATATCTAACAGAAGAGTATATTCAAATCAACTTTATAACAGACTCTAGGTCCAATTTAAAACATACTGCACATACAAGACAAAATGTAACAAACAAACAGTTATGACTGTCCTTCTTTAAATGTGTTTGTCTTTCAATTTCTTAACCTTTGTACAAAAGTATTTCATCAGTCTCTCATATAATATGTGTCTATGTTCGTGAAGTATGTTCTCAGTGTTCTTATGCAAAACTTCTCCCCTCTGGGACAAATACATGTGTTCTTAGCTAGCTTATCTGTTTTCGAGATTTTCCGATTTTAGGGATAATAATTAGATACAATCTCAGTTGAAGCTTTGTGGACGTGCTGCTGTCAGATTCCTGCTCCGTTGCATCCTGAGGCCATGGTTCTGTTCCCGCTCTGATCTCAGGGAACAGCTCCAGGCCAGCGTTTTGATTGGCTGTCACGCACGTCTGGGGTCAGGTGCAGAGAGCTTCATTACATCACTGTGCTGGCAGCTGATTGGTCGGGGCAGTTGTCAGTCTCAGGGGGCTGCGGGGGAAATTCCAGTCGTGGTTTGAGAACACGCCTAGACTTGAGTTTACCTGGAAAAGAGTTCCATGAAACGTGTTATGTGATGGAAAGTACTACAAATGGTCCATAACTGGCCAGTATGCAAGTTCTATTTTGTAGTAATGAATAATGAATATATGAATTATGTTTTATTGATAGGTTGGTGAAATAATTGTTCTGAGAGAAGAGGTTTTATGACTCGAACTGAACTGGATCTTCAGCGAAAAGAAACAAGACAGATGCATTTTGATTTTTGTAAGAAAAAGACACTCTGTAAGAAAGCCCTCAAGTTCAACACTAGTTGAGTGGTTAGTACTCTGGCTTCTCAGCAAGACGGTCCTGGGTTCAAACCACATTCAGAACACGCAAACTACACAGGGAGTGTAGTCTGCATGTTCTTCTCTTGTCTGCGTAGGTTTGCTCTGGGTGCTCCGGTCTCTCCTACCGTGAAAACACGCATAATAGGTGAAATCCTCCCGCTGTGGTCCTGATAAAGATGGGCCCCTGGGCACTGTACTACGGTGACCACTGTTCCTGACGTGGATTGGTCAAATGCAGAGGATAAAGTTCCCTACACGAATAAATAAAGTGCATATTAACATTTACATTTGTCTCTCTCTAACCAAACTACAGGTCAAAGACATTATAATTGTTAGCTGCAGTATAATTTGTCAGGTTATGACAGTATTAGGAAGGACTGCCTAGATACAGAGAATGCTTTGTAATGATTTTGTAAATAGTAAACTTTTTTTCTGAAATTCCACTTTCTTTTAGCCTCAAAGAGAGACTGCATCGAGCGCTTTGGCCAGAGGACTATCGAGAGAATCAACAATGACGACGACGTCATCTGTACTACAGAGTACTCCCGCATTGTGCCTTTGGAGAACGGAGAGGTGAGGCTCCTTATGTTCCACTTAAACCTGCTGAAGCAACGCGTACCGCTCCATAAAGTTCCGTATGTAGCTGTACTTAGACCCTTGTGTGTAAGAAGCATTACGGGGGCTCTGTTGGCATTAAACATTTTTTTATTATCTGTAACTTTGTCAACGGGTGACGAAGACTGCAAACTGAAAACTGTGGTCCTTTCACTCAAATTACTTTTTTTTTTCGAATTTTTTTGTCTTCTTTGTTTTTTTGTTACAATAAGAGTCTGAGAGACATTCAAACAATTACCTTTCTCATAAAACAGGTCTTATCTTTTTTCATTTTGAATCTATATTTGCTTAAATTTACTCCCCGCTCTCATACGTTCACATTCACATGGGATTACAGTGGTCCCTTGTTTATCGCAGGGTTACGTTCTGAAATTAACCCATGAATAGCAAAATCCTTGAAGTAGCAGCTGTACAGTATGTTATAAAGCTGTAAAACCCCTCACCATACTCTTTATACACTTTTCTGAACTCATAAAGGTTGAACTGCATTCGCAGAGATATCCACCTTTTGTGTGAGCCCTGCTGCAGCAGATCATCAAAGCTAACAGCAAAAAATAGTATAAACTATAACCCTGTACTAGTAATGGAACTAGTCAAAAGTTGTCTTACTGGTCGAAGTTATGCCAAGGGGAAGCATTATTTAAGATGTACGTATTGTATTCTATTGTTGGAAAATATTTACTGTACATAATAATACAGTGGAACATGGTTAGAAATTTACATTAGCTACTCCAGCTATCAAAAGCCATGCATGCACAGTAAAATACAGTGTACACATGCATAATGCTTTAAATTAGGGGTTATATCAGGGGTCGCTTTTTCTTTTTTCTTTCAAAGAGTCGTAATATAGTTGAAGTCTTGTGTAAGTATAGCCAATCATGGAGAGAAGACATGCATAATACGCCGTACAGTCGCCCTGCATTAAAAAAAGATTTATAGTTAAGATAGATATGTCATGACATCATTCACAATCATGTTTTAGAATCTTGGATCCTTCGGGGTTGTGAGCCACTGGTAGCTCCCAAACTACAAGTTGGGTACTGCAGGTTTATATGATGTTGGATATGATGATCTTGACGTATACATGCAACTTACAAGAAGTATGCTGTAAAAAGCACACCAAATTGACACAAAAAAAACTATGCGAAATCGTGAGGGCATAAAAAGTGAACTGGGAGATAGAGTTCTGTTTTAGCTGGGAATGTGTTTGCTGAATTACAGGAAGTAAAAATCCAAGGAAACTTTACAGAAATTATCCACAACATTTTATACTGGACAAGAATCACATTGGAAGCCCATCATTATCACACACTACTTGAGGAGAATATGGTTTGCTCTGCTTTCCCTCAGATCGTCGTGTCCTTGGTGAACGGTCGTCCTGGAGCTATGAACTTCTCCTACTCCCCGGTGCTGCGAGAGTTCACCAAAGCCACCAACATCAGACTGAGGTTCCTGCGCACCAACACTCTGCTGGGTCACCTGATGGGCAAGGCTCTGCGGGACCCCACCGTCACACGCAGGGTAAGCACACAGCACTTTGGAGACAGGAATGGAACTTTAATTTTTGTTTTTATTATATGAAGACATGGACGTTGACCATAAGGGACAGATAACCAATGTACCAACCATAAAGGTCGTTGAATAAGTGTCCTGGATCATCACCACTGTCCTCAGACCCTTCTGCAAAGAAATAGTCATTCATAATACATAGAGTTTATACTTGCTAAACTCCTGCAGGTGGATTGCATGGGGGTTCACTATGGGGTTATGTTTTCATCTGGGTTTGTTAGTTTTCTTCTCAGTTACTCTCATTATATCTCTAAAGGAGCAGTTTGGTAACAACGATACTGCTTCTGTCTGGAGGGGCCTACGGGAGATCACCAACTACAAACCCAAAGCCCCCCCCTGTGCTGATGACCACAAGCTAGCTGACGATCTGAACTTATTTTTCAGTCGCTTTGATGCTGCCCCTGACACCTCTCCCTCCCCCACCCCCCACTACTCTAACGACCCACCCATCAGCCCTGCCCCCAGCCTAACAATAGCCGCTAAAGAGATTAAACAACTCTTCCTGAGGCTGCACCCCCGCAAAGCTCCTGGCCCGGACCACGTGTCTCCGGCCACTCTGAGACACTGCGCCAGTGAGCTTACTCCTGTGTTCACGGACATTTTCAACTCCTCTCTGCAGTCCTGCCATGTCCCGGCCTGCTTCAAATCCTCCATCATTGTCCCCGTCCCGAAGAAGCCCAGGATCACAGGACTCAATGACTACAGACCTGTAGCACTTACGTCTGTCGTCATGAAGTCATTTGAACGCCTGGTTCTCTCCCATCTCAAGTCCCTCACCTCCCCCCTCCTGGACCCCCTGCAGTTCGCCTACAGAGCCAACAGATCTGTAGACGACGCCATTAACCTGGCCCTCCACCACATCCTACAGCACCTGGACTCCCCGGGGACCTACGCCAGGGTCCTGTTCGTGGACTTCAGCTCTGCCTTCAACACAATCCTGCCATCCCTGCTCCAGGACAAGCTCTCCCAGCTCAACGTGCCCGATTCCACCTGCAGGTGGATCACTGACTTCCTGTCGGACAGGAAGCAGCGAGTGGGTCTGGGGAAGAATGTCTCGGACTCTCGGATTATAAATACAGGAGCCCCACAGGGCTGTGTTCTTTCTCCCCTGCTCTTCTCCCTGTACACCAACCACTGCACCTCCAGCCACGACTCCGTGAAGCTGATCAAGTTCGCGGACGACACCACCCTCATTGGACTCATCTCCAACAACGATGAGTCCGCCTACAGGAGGGAGGTGGACCGGCTGGTGTCCTGGTGAAGTGGTAACAACCTGGAGCTGAACGCCCAGAAGACAGTGGAGATGATTGTGGACTTCAGGAAGAGCACTGTCCCCCCGCCCCCACCCTCTGTGATGGACTCCCCCATCACCTCTGTGGAGTCCTTCCGTTTCCTGGGCACCACCATCACCCAGGACCTCAAGTGGGAGCCGACCATCAGCTCCCTCATCAAGAAGGCCCAGCAGAGGATGTACTTCCTGCGGCAGCTCAGGAAAGCCAAGCTGCCTGCACAGATGTTGGTGCAGTTCTACACGGCCATCATCGAGTCCATCCTCACCTCCTCCATCACCGTGTGGTTCGCTGGAGCCACAGTCAGGGACAAACAGAGACTACAGCGCATTGTGCGCTCTGCAGAGGAAGTGATCGGCCGCAGCCTTCCATCGCTGCAGGACCTGTACGTCGCCCGAGCTCGAGGCCGGGCTGGTCGTATCACAGCCGACCCCTCTCACCCTGCACATGGACTATTCCAACCACTCCCCTCAGGCAGGAGGCTGCGGTCCATCAGGACTAGAACCTCCCGCCACAAGAACAGTTTCTTCCCCTCTGCTGTTGGACTCTTGAACACTTCTTAACCTGTCCCCCCGCCCTTTATAAAGTCACTTTACTGCCCATCATACGTCACTTTACTTCACTGTACTGCTGTCACCTTACATTGTGTGCACCATGTGCACTTGTATATTGTAAATAGTAACTGTAACTCTATTTTAAATTTAAATTTATTCTTTAGAAGTGTTTTTTATTCTTATTTTTATTATCTCTTTTTGACTGTTGCACTGAGCCAAAGCAATTTCCAAGTCTGTGACCTCCCGTTACTTACGTTGGCAATAAAAATGATTCTGATTCTGAAAAAAAATGATTCTGAAAATGGATCAATGGATTTAGGACAAGGCACAAATGTCTCCCATCACAATGCTTTTTCTGTGTTTGTCCTGTGTTCCGTGCTTATCTCCCATTCCCGTGTCTGTGCAGTACTACTACAGCATCAAGGACATCAGCATCGGAGGACGCTGTGTTTGCAACGGTCACGCCGAGGCCTGCAACGCCCAGGACCCCAACGACCCCTACAAGTAAGACACGCATCACACAACACTACCATCTCCTATCTCAGCCAGACATTTACAAACGCGGTTTTAACCCAATCTGTTTTGACTGTACACACTTTCGAGATAAGCCGTACCTCCGGTGAAGCGTGTGCCGCAAAAGTCATAACCAGAAGGAGTTTTAATTACACCACTTCATTTGGTGCCAACTTTATCAGTGTCTGGGGGCATATATTAGCATTCCTCCGATGCAGATGGGTGCCAGGATTTGTTGAAACACATTAAGCAGCTGAGGAAAATAACACGCTGACAGTGGCTTTAACAGTACTCAGTAAAAAGTGATGAACAACAAGTCAAACTTTTCTCAAAGTTGGCTAAATGTATCTTAATTTGAGCACATTCTGACTGACTTAAAACAAGATTTGCCAATGGTACAAGCAAAATTATCTCTCCCTTGGAATGTGAAAAAAGCAACAGTTCTTGGGACAAAGCCATTTGAATGACCAAATAGCTTTGTCCCAGTCTTGTTAGAATGCACTCAAATTAAGATAAAAAACACTTGATTTAGGCATACAGTATATTATCTCAGTGTTCATATCCTTTTGCAGTGAGATTCATACGGTATGAAAGGTGTGGTTGAGGTAAAATTAAGGAACATATTTTGTAAAAGTTAGAGAAGCTTCATTCCTTGTTTTTACTCATTGTTCAACACATTCTTCAACTACAAATGTTTATAGTAACATTAACCCATAGAGGCCAGGAACGCCAATTCTCTTCATTGATCAATTTGTTGTCTGTACTTTAACGGGATTCACGTCCGGGAGGCGCTTTGTACCGACAGCCGCTTTGACAACAGCTCAGCGAACGCACAGCCGTAACGTGGTACTGAGCACGGACCATTAAACTCGCGGACAGAACCATAGACGCGTAGTCAGGAGCTGAAAGTTGGCCATAGGTTTTACCGGTATGTTTTACCAGGTGTGTCAGGCCTTAATGGGCTGTAGACATTCTCCTCTTTTCCTCCATTAACAGAGGACTGATTAGAACTAAATTCTATGTCTTTACTTAGAAGAACTTAGTGGAAAGTGGTACATAGTGGCCATACCTGCATACGAAAGCCAGATCCCGTCAGACTTTGGAAGTTAAGCAGGGAGGGCTTGGTCAGTACTGTGATGGGAGACCAGGTGTGTGGAATTAATGAACAACAACATGTGAATCGTCTTTGAGTGTCCAAAAAGCATATAAAACCAATGCATTATATGAAGCCAGTGAATTGTGACATCTTGATTGAGTCTTTGGTTGCTACAACCTGGCTCTAGATTCACGCCCATGGAGCTTGTTTGAGTTTATCTCTAATCGGCTTCTTCCACAGAAAAGGAGAAACACTGGCATCAGTGCTTGGTCTGTCCATTACTTCCACTGTCAATACTTCAAATACATCACACCGTCTTGGAGATAATAATGTATTCATACTATTTTCTATGAGGCCCACACATAATTTCACTTATTTTGATGTACTTAAGATCATGTTTAAGGCTAAATTAAAAAGCCTTGAAACCCTCCTGTAACCTCACTGTCTTTAATAACAGCATGTATTCAGGTAGAGTGGAGGAAGTGGATTTTATTAGCGCATTTATGTAGCGCATGTGAACCTGATGCAGTAATAACACCCCTGCAGCCTCTAGGGGCAAAACCCTGAACAAAATTCGACATCATAGCCACCACCACACATGTTATTAATGTAATCTGCTCCGCCCACTTCCACTGCGGGCAGACAAGGACTTATCTGACAGCATCGCGACAGGTCCAGTCATGTCTGTCTGTCTCCACAACAAGAGCCAAATGAAGGACATGGTTTTATTAGGCAGAGGTTGTAATCAGAAATGTGCCGAGCTCTTTTAGACCAGCTGCTCCCAGCCTTTTAAAACATACACAATAATAAACAGGGCCACGTCCGGAAACAACGCAAAGGTTCCGATGAGTTCTGGCAGATGCGGCTCTCTTTGTTTTAAGTAAACAGAGTAAAATCACAACATAAAATGTAACAATAGCAAGAGCAAGAGAGGACGTCACAAAACTAGTTCTAGTACAAATATGCTGTGAAGTGCTACAGTTTGTATTAAGTGCTACAGTTTGTATTAAGTGCTACGTGTTTCTGAGGTGCTACTCCCACTGAGGTTGTTAACTGTCGTTGTTTCCCTGTGCAAGATTAACCTCACTCTGTCTGAAGCCCCCATAGAGATTAGGTGGCTGTTCTGATTGCCACCCACCAAATCCCCCCATCCCCCTCTCCCAGATTTTTTTTTTTTTTATTTCTTAAAGGACAATGACAATCAAGACGAACACGTTTGCAGAGGTTGAAACAAGAACATACAGCAACTAAAGACATTCAAAAAAGGAAAACACAATTCAAAAAAGGAAAACACATTCACGCAAAAACAAAACATTTCTTTATTTATAGATTCTTTCAAATTTTTTCCCACATTATTTGGTGCTTTCTTCTAAATTGTGATAGTGCTCCACATAACCTAGAAAGACTGCAGTATTCAAGGTGCTTTCATTATTTGACTTGAATATAAAGTTTTTCCCTAAAAGAAAAAAATGAATTAATCTCTAAAGCCGCTGTTTTAGATGGATACGTTATTGTTATTGTCCAAATATAACAAAACCTTGTTGGAGCTGCAGTTACATATAAAGACGTGCAGTCACATATGTGTTAAACTTTGAACATACTCTAGTCTGGAATTTGCATGTTTGCATCTCTGCGTAGGTTTCATCTGGTACTCCAGTTTGCCCTGGCATGTGCCTCTTCTATGGCGACCTCGTTCCCATCTCTGTCTGGAGTTAGTGGACAAATGCGCACAACAATTGTAAAGCGCTTTGTGACTCTGGTCTGTGAAAGGCGCTATATAAGTAAAGATTGCTTACTCTCATTCTCACAATCTGTACATATCTGACCTTTATTTTCTCATCCAAAACCAGATGCCAGAACCACAGAAATGGTTTCAAACATACAGTTGGAATTTTCTCAGCTTTCATGCCTTTCACTCTTTCTTTTCATGTGATGTCTATAAAAATAAGAGGAAATCCCACCATTATACGACAGAGACACCTCTGCACGCACCCCGAAACACGAACTATATCCCTGCTCCATAATCCGATACAGAAATATTGACACTTAGCACACATGTCTCCATTTCACACATCTGCCAAAGTCATTCTGTCATCTCTCTGTCCCAGGCAGCAAATGTCAATTCAAATCTATCATCTACTTTTAGAGAATTGGCCGTCTGCTTTGTCTGTATTTCAAATAGCTTTATGGCTTGCATAAAACAATCACTGCTCCTAGATGTATAAAATGTTAAATGAATCCTAATATTTGAATGTAAGTTGCATTCTAATTGCAATCACAATTTTTGCCAATGCAGGAGGGTTTTAGGACAATGGTGATGATCCGTGGACATTGATCATCTGCCCATTATGGACCTATGGCTCTGTGTTTTTTATTGTTGGATTCGAATGCGTTTGAACTGTTTGATTCTATGATTTGTGTTGGCAACCCAAGATGACTCCAAGAAGACTGCTGTGATTTAGACAACATTTCGACAAAAAAAACCAGCAGACTCCCCCATTTTCCTCAAAGCTCAGGTTGAAAGTGGAGTCTGCTGTCCTGCTCAGGTTAGAACTAAAACCTGCAGCCACACCTGCCCTTTGAGGACCGGTTCGACATCTCTGCTCTAAAGGATGGCTTATGTTTTCACAGTTCAATACATATGAAACATTTGATGGTGTGTAAAATACATTGAATTGAAGTGCTTCTCACAAAACTATCAACTACAATGGCTATGTTTTCAAATAATGAAAGTTTTGCTTAAGTGCGCTCTTGGCTGGACTTATACAGAACACTTTCTTAATTCACCTTCAATTTGTTCAATCAGACATTCCCCTTTCAAATACACAGGTTGCAGAACACTTATTACTAAGTTGCCGATCAAGCGGTTTTGGCTTTAAACACACACAACGCCTCGGGGAACAGACTTTTCATGAACCATGAGTCATAGCGAATTAAAAGAGTCATTTTAGAATCCAATGAAAATAGAATTGGCTCAAACGCTGGGCACAATCTTGAATTTGCAAAGAAGTAATTTCACCTTTGATTATTCAATGTCAAAAATGGCCTCTATTTTAATCAGTGTGTTCCCAGGTATTTCAGAATGTACTGGCAGTGACCTCAGTGGCTTGTGGCTGATGTCAGAGAGAAGGAATTTGGTGGTGAACTCACTTTGCACTAAATCCAATAAAAGACTCATGGGTTGACTTGTTCTGATAAAGTAACAGGGTCAATGCAACCGAGAACAAAGCAGACTCACCTGGCTTTTCTTTCAAGACAACATTGAAAGTCCTTGTAATATCTATACTGTAGATATTTCTCTATTTTATCTACTGATGAATCTCTAGAAATGTAAATATTGTTCAAAAATCCACCTCTGTGTATGTTTCCTCCAGGCGACATGCTTCTATAGAAGAGGGTTCATTTCCTTTTCTTTTCACCCTGCTTTTAATCCGATTAGTGTCGAAATCTACGGCCTGCAGAGAGGCGACCAAAACACAGCGGGACGATCCAGCTTAAGCCTCCACTTTCTTTGCACTACTCTTCTCAATCTGAAGAAATGTTGATAAAATGCCATAACTTTTGTCAAAATCTTAGCAAATTTAAAAACAATAAAAATCTTGTTTTTAGTATTGATACTTGCTCAAATCAGTATCTTGTTTTGATACTTGCTTTTGGACTTTGGACAATGTTTTTTCAATACTTTTGACAATCCTAGGGCAAGGATACATACATACACTTCTTAAAAATCAGACTTTGTTTCCATCTGCGAAAGGTGTCAATCCTTCCCACCTGTTAACGTAGCTCAATTGGGCAAATCCAGACCTAAGTGCGAAATGAAATGAGTATGATGGTTTGGTATGGCCAGCCTATGTCCGAAGCAGACACTTTTGTTTAGGATACAGGTAATAACTGT